CAGGGATGTGACATGTGAAATGTCTTTCCATGATGTCAAAGATACCTTCAGGTGTGGCATTCAAGGGGAAAGCTCTAGACTGAAGACATACATTTAGAAGTAATCTGTAAACAGATGAGCATTTAAAACTAAGTGTCAAGAAAATGAAGCCCTGGGGATGCCGCAGACTAAGCATCGGGTTGCTAACCATAAGTTGGGGGTTCAAACCCACTAGCTGTTCTGTAGGAGAAAGACAAAGCAATCTGTTTCTCTAAAGATTCACAGCCTTGGAAATCTCATGCAGCAGTTGTGTTTTGTCCCACAGGGTTGTTAGGAATTGGAACTGACTCGACAGTAGTACGTTGGGTTTGGTAGCTTGACATGATCTCTACCTGGAGGATTCAGATTAGAATAGGGTCATTCATCCAAAGGCATTAAAAGCTAACATTTGAACAAAATGTGATGGGAACTTTTAGGGAAGGGAAAAAGAAACAGCAATGCCAACTCACCTTTGGCACCAGCTGATGACTTTGCAATCCAAATGTTGCCTTCTCCACCCTCTCTCTTTCTGTTATAAGAAGCCAGGAAGAATTCTCTTTCATCTGTCCTTGAGTTATTGATTGGTGGGTGGATTCCATTCTGTGCTGGAGCAACTGGTGTCTTGAGATTAGTTGGATAGATCACATAGGATTCGGGGAACCATGTGCAGGACTCAGACAATTCTGGGCTCGTCTTGATTAACCTGATGGATGACAGAGGGTCAGTCTCCATTCTTACTGCCATCTGTCCAGCATGAACTCTATTAAGAAGGGCCAGTGCTTTCCCACAGAGGTCTACAAAGAGGCAGGGGTGACCAGGGTCCAGGGAGGCTTAAGCTAGTCTGCTTTTAGTCCCACCATTTTTTTGTGGCCTCCATGAGGAGACCTCTAAGGTACTACCGGGCAGCATGTAGCTGTAGATGCAACATTAAGGTCATGTCATAGCTCATTCAAAAGTGGGCTTAATGTCGAGAACACTAGCTCCTTTTAAAAGGTATCTCTCAGGAAACTTAACTTGAAGTATTCCTAAACCAACATCTTTTCAAATATGCTATGTTTGAAATGTGTTATATTGAGCCAGACTCATACTGAAAACTGAAGTGGAAAACCTAGAAAAATAACTGCATAATTAACAACGATTCTAACTTAGCCCATCTTTCTAGGGGCAAAGGCAATTTAAGAATCTGAATTATCTAAAGGCTTACTTTAGCTCTTCATTTATTTTTCTTAGCTCATCCTAGCTTTTTTTTTATTATTATTATATTTTTAAGGTTTTTATTGTGGATTAAGTGAAAGTTTACCAGGGCACATCATCAGTTTTACATTCAACAAATCATATACCTTGTTTCATTACACTGAATATAATCCCCTCCATGTACCATCAGTTAGCAGTATTTCTCTCTATCTACTTTAGCTTTTTAAAAAACACACAAACATAAAAAATCCCACTCAGGCATATATCATAAGTTATATCTCCAAAGGGCACATTCTGCAAGTCTGCTCCTGGCCACCAGCTCTTAGTCCTTCTCTTCTTAGTCCATGAATCTAGAGTCCTCAGCCGCTCCCCCTCTCCATGCCCCCATCTCTGCCACCATCTCTGGTGCTGCTGCTTCTCTGGATAAGGTCCCACATTCTGCTTGTGCGTTCCTCTCTTGATGGTCCTAGGGTCCTCTGTTGCTGAACTGTAAGATTAACCACTCCCCCTTTTTTTGTTACAAAACTTCTACCTTTACAATTATGACAGTCACGATTAGTCATGATAACAGTTATTCACTATTGAATCTTACAAATCTTACCACAATCTCTTTTCACCAGACCCATCTAGACAAGATGACAGCCGTCCAGTGGGGACTGTTTCCCTTGATACTCTTAAACTGAACTCCCTCCTGAAACCTTGTAAGCCAGTCACTTCGTGCCTTTATCACCCCCTCATTTTAGGTAGCCAATGTCTAAGTTGCCTGTCCCTATCTACCCTGTGTACAGAGGGGAGAGCAATGAAACTTGATTTGAAGACTCTTTCCCTCTCTGTTGGTATTTAAAGTAACTACCGCTTTGAGTATAGGTCAG